GCGGGAGGAGCGGGAATAGCGAGCGGGAGGTGTAGGAGGAGCGGGAGGAGCGAGCGGGAGGTGCAGGAGGTGAAGGAGGAGCAAGCAGGAGGTGCAGGAGGAGCGGGAGGAGTGGTAAGTGCGGGAAGAGTGGGCGGGTGGAGCACGGGCGGGTGTACCTTGACACGATGTTTGCCCCTCTGCATCTCGCTCTCCAGCCGGCGCTTCTGCTGGCTCTCCTGGCGCAGGCGGCGCTGCAGCTGGTCCTGCTGCTGCCGCATGTTCTGCACGTTCCTCTCCAGCTCCTGGACCCGCCGCTCGCTCTGGGCTGACAGGGAGGCCAGCCGTGCCGTGTCACGCTGCTTCTGCTTCAGGACCTGCCGGGAGCACGCACGCTGGCTAGACACTTCTCCCCGGCCCTGCCCGCCGCTGCTTCACTGTGCCTCATCTGAGCTGATCATGACACTCCACTCGCGTCACTCCTGCTGCTCGCATTCTCTGCCGTCACACGTCAGCCCTGACAACAGCTGGACTGGAGCAGGAGGAATCCTGAGCAGCCACAGGCCCACAAGCTTCACACACCGGTTTCAAACCACTAATGAGCAAAGAGCACGACAACGTGCAGTTGAAAGGAAAACCAAAAGACACCAATGATCTCTTGAACAAGGGTCATGTTGGAGGATATAATAGCATTAGAATCCCAGGGCATTTATTTTCATGATGGATTTTGTCTATCATGTCAGAGAATCACTGATAATTACCTGGGAGACACCTGCACAATGCAGAAGGATCACCTGCTTTGGGGTGTTGCTGCAAGTCTCAAGTATCCTGACTGCAGGTAAATCGTGACACCCCGTCTACTCAAATCATTCCTCCCATGTTTCAGTCACCTGCAGTTAGACCTGAATCTACAACTCTCGAAATCTCTGCATGTCCCAGGAGACAGTTCAATCCTGGACCTTGTTAATCTGTGATTAAATTCCTCTTAGGAGGATACAAATATTTACCTCCAAGAACAGACAAATAAAGCAGCTACAAAATATGATTCATTAAATCTGGCAAGGAACCCAAAGAGACTGAGGTTAGCTTTTATATCACAAGAAGTTTTCAGCAGACAGTTCTGACAGAACGTAGAATGCCATTTCTAATGTCAAATCTTTCAGGAACAAAATGCTCTAAATGTTTTACATGGATGTGTTTCTTGACACTTTTGATATCTGTTTGTTACAGAGAATTTCCAGCATTCATTACCTAGATAGGGACAAAATTCTGTCTACTTTTTTCTCTTGAAAGGCAGCATCAGCTATGCAATGGAAAGAAAAGCGTAATTTTTCTGAATGCAAAGCATGTCAGCGCCAAACTGCAAGGTCAGCCAAAGGAGATGCCTTAGTGACAGCAGCTGTCACGTGCCTTATGCATTAAACACGCAAGCTGGTTTATCTTGCAATTCAGACAACTCAGTGACTTGACCTTTATTAAGAACATTTTCACGGTTGCTTTTATGAAGTTTGACGTCATTTCCATCAGTTATCAGGGCTGCAAAACACAGTGTTTGATATTCCCGCAAGGCACCTGAAATTCACCTTACAAACAGCACACTTATATTCAATTTTCAGACTAGCAATCATGCAAGTCTGGGCAGGAATGGATATTTTGTTTTTCATTTCCAAACTTTAAAGTTTGCAGTTCCTGTAGCCTTTATATTCAGTTCTTTTTTTTCTATTCCTCCTCCATCTGTACATGTGTATAACTCACAAGCACAACTTGTATATTCTCTCTTCTCCATGTTGTAGATCATTTAGGGTATTTTTTTAAATGTTTGCCAAATTAGCCAAGGGAATTTAAAAAAATATTCAAAATAATAAATTTGGCCAGGGGAATATTTCTGCAATTTCATTTAGTATTTGTTTGTATATTGATCAGGTGTCACTGGATGAAAATGGTAGGACTTTTTGGTAGGAGTCATTGTGAAATCTTACCTTCTCACTCATCTAAAAACAAAGCCTTGGAGAGGATCTGTAGCCAAATCTGATACACAAATAACATCTGCTCTGGCATTTCTTGTGTGAGCCAAGCTCCTGGACCTATGTGAGACTTATACAACTAGTTCAGTCCAGGAAGAAGCATGCTTTTTTCCCCAATGCCATATGCGAATATTACCATCCGCTCTCAAGCAGTGATATGTTAAAAAAATATCATTTACAAGGTATATTGAAGAAAAAATAAATAGTTAATATCTGATTGCAAAGCTGTCTATTTAGGGAGACTAGGGAGTTTCATTCATAGATTTTTTTGGACATTATTTCCAATGTGTCAAAGGGACGCATTGTAGTGCCCCATAAACACTATGGGAACCCCTGTATCCTTTCACACAGAGATGAATTAAGGTATCAAACTGAAATAACAATAACACGTTTCTGTCGACAAGCTGAGGACGATGAAGCCGTAGCGGCGATCACACTGGTGTCACGGTGAAGCTGGTCTGACCTGCACTCTGCTCTGTGCCGCGGCGATCTTCCTGCGGCACTCCTGCGCCTTGGACCGGTTGGCCGGGTCCCGGGGCTCGTGGCCCTCCAGGTCCTGCAGCTGCTTCTGCGCCTCCGTCAGCTCGGCCCGCGCGCGCTCCGCCTGCCGCTCCAGCTCCGAGATCTTCCGGCTGTACTGCCTGTTCATGGCCTGGGCGTCCCTCCCTGCGGGCACAGCGCGGGCCGCGTGAGGGAGCCTCGTGTCTTCCCATCACACACAGCAACGTCCTTAACGCCCCACACGGTAAACTGCCAGAGGCCAGTTAGAGAACTAAGTAGACTCTCTAGACCTTAATTTATTTATTGAAACGTCTTCGTGGGAAAACGTTCACAAAAAAAGTATATAAACAATTTTAAACTATTTTTTTTAATTATAATGGCGATTCTTCTTAGCATAACCCACTGGATTGAACTTCACTGCTGAGAAATCCCACAGTACTCAAAGCTCACTAATTTTTCATCTAAGTTAATAAAAACAAGCTGCACAACTGGGCTACGTTTGCCATCCCTGGGATATATCCTGGAACATGTGGGTGTTTTTAATAATAAAGCGCATTTGCTTTACTCATTGGGTTTATAATTTAAAAATATACTTAATAACATCAACTCGCATATCGCTGCAAAGACTACTTCTCATGTTTAGATTATAAAAAAAACGTAAAAATAAAACATCCATATTAATTTGAATATTTTTTAATAGACAAATGTATTCATCACATATCAGTAGAAACAGATTAGATCAAATTACTCTGTACTTGGCAGTCTGTTGTCTTGCTGCAGTCTGAACCAGACAGAAAGAGGGTGAGGCTGATTGCAGTACAATACTGTGATTTATGTTTGTAAGGCCTCAGTTAGTGAGAAATACACATCTGCTTATCGGCAAGGACACTGAGATCCTCCCAGGCTGTTTTATTTCTGAAGCGGAAGCACATTTAACTAAAATTACAAAAAAAATATTTTAAAACTTCTACATTGTTCTTTACACACAAGATTAACTTAACAGAAACTGTGGATGGGATTTCAAGAGTTCAGTACTCCTCTAGGGTGACCCTTGACGGGCACTCCCATTAATACCAGTTCCCATTAACAAGCAGGCAGGAGCAGCTTGCTCAAGAGTACAGCAGCAGTGATCCCAATAAGACCTGAACTCACTGCACCGCAGTTACCAATCCAGAGCTCTAACCATGGCTTGGTGCTCCCCCCAGCTTCAACAAAAAATCCTAAAAAAACATGATCTATTTGCAACTGGAGTGGCTGCAACGCGCTTTCAAAGGTGGTGCCTGTGAGCCAGTTCAGCTTGAAACTTTCTCCCAAAAAAACATTCTATGTAATTTCGCAATATTCTGAAATTGTTTTGCAATATGCCTAACAATTCCATACTAACATGACTGAATGTTATCTTCCAACATTTACATGCTCCTCTACGATAGCGATACTCTGGTGCTGGAGTTGCTAAGCCGCCCCTCAGCTGTACCTGTCTTGACCAGCTCCTTGATCAGTTCCTCCTTCATGCGGATGTTGATGGACAGCTCACGGATCTTCTGCTGGGCCTGCAGGAGTCCCCAGTCCGAGCCACTCTGGCCTGGGCCGGAGGTCACCAGGGGGCAGCTGTCTCCCATAGATCCTCGCAGACCTGACCCCTCACCACTGCTGTTTGCTAAAGACAATGTTTTTTAAAGTCAGTGAAAATGCAGAAGGGTTCATGTGTTTTGATTCATCACTTACTGAGCTTTGCACATAAAAGACAGTTATGATGCAGATTATTTTTTTCCTTATTCACTACATTTGTATCATCAAACATGTATCACCAAGCTGCTGCTGTCCCTTCCTGTCTGCACTAAGCAGTGAATTTGTCCTCAGGAGTATGTGAATTTCACTTACTGATCTGTACCTTTAACAAAAATATCAAAATAGAGGATCATTCCTTGATTGCATCATGCATCTTAACAGATGTCTGAAATAGATGGAATTTATTATCTTTCCTTGTTTTTTCTAGAAAAAATATGATTTCTAAGTGGCATAAAAAATCAACAGCATAACCAGACAAAAATGTAACATGGTTAAATGGTGTAAAATGCACATCAACAACAACATATAGATGCAAATGTTTCTGTACTAAAAGTGAGCACTGCTGCAGACAAAAGAGGGGTTTCCACAAGCGGGCAATGAGTGGGTGTTGCTGATTGATCTTCGAAACTCCTACAAAGACTGGACTGAGCAACACTGCAAGTCTTTACTTGTCACAACACAGATTGCGTGGAGATGCAATATTTCTGAATCAAGAAACTTTGAACCTATCTTACTAGCCAGGCTGGCAAACTGAAGCAACTAACTGAAATAACAAGGCTGGTGACTGTAAGTCTGAAACTTTCTGAGTGAGGAAATATTCTACTGTTTATCCACAGCATAGCTTGTGAAGCAGCAGTGTGTCAGCCTGTTCTGCAATCATCATTCTAGCAGCAAAAACACTCTCCCTGCTCTTGCAATAGACATCCATTAAAACAGGGACACTACTTCTGTTTACTTCTGTGACTCTGTTTACTTTGTAGTTTCAGTTAAATTCAGAAAGGTTTATAGAAAAGAATTCTTAAGTGTTCTGTTGCAGAAAGGAAGCTGAGAGAGAAAAGTAAACTCTAGAAAGCAGGGGAGCGGGGAGACCCACACTTTGGCAGTAGCAGATCTGGGGACACACACCCCCTCCCTTGGCCAGACAAGGCAGTACTCAGCACTTCTCTCTTGGTCCAGGTCATGTTCAGGTGTCTGCAACAAAGTGTTCACTCATTACAAAGCTGACATGAGACTCTTATCCCCTGAAACATCACACACAGAAAAGAAGCAATACGTTACCACTGCAAAAGAGAAGAAAGTGATACCAATTTGTGGTCCCAAAGAGCCACACTCTCGCAGGACCTCAGAGATTCTGAAACAGGAGTAATTAAGACCAGCTTGGACAGTAAATAATCAAATGTCTATTACACACCTCCCTCTGTCTCTCTTCATCTTGATCTGACTGCCTTGCCCTTCTTCTTCAGCGGCAAGGAGGTCAGGGTCCTGAAAGGAGTCTACCTGGTATTCCTCTCCTTCCTGGCAGCAGTGTACACAATCCTCCCTCCCCGTACAGCTGCCGGGACCTGAATGGCTCACCTGAGGAGCAACATAGCACCCACCGAAGTTCAACAGCCCGAAAAGAGCAATACATCACAGGAATGGTCCAAATCCAGTTAGGTTTCAATCTCACCCTGGCTAGAATGAGATGCGCTCAAAATAAAATAATAGGTTTATATAATTTACAGCAGATCTATCTATTGTATATCTATGATATGGTCAACAGCATTCTGGCTTAGAGGTAGGGTTAGATCCTATCCTGTATGCAGTGTTGCATAACAACAGTATTATTATAAATTACATGTTAAGAGCAAAATTGAAAATATAAAAAACAGTGATTAAAGACAAGAAAATTAAAACATAAGAACGACAACAATAAATACAGCTGCAAGTAGAGATCATTGGTGGTCAAACCTAAACATCACTTCTCATGGACAAGAATGGTTTCTGATAAGAACGTGTGTGGTTTTCTGTGTATGTTCCATAAACAATATGACTCTATGAGCCTTGTCTAAGGACATATACGACAGTTTTGCATTTCATGTAAAGGAGACACAAAGGGTCACAGGCAAGTTCATGCACATATTTTGTTCGAGCACAAATAGTTTACCATACTATCCACGACCCTATCCGATCTCTGCAAGAAATTAAGATTTCTGCATCTGACCTTTACGAAAGGTCAGTTAATCTAGAAGTGTCTTTTTTCCAGAAAGACACAGCAAGACCAAACTTACAATGGCAGAGATTCAAAAACACACCATCAACACCATCGGTCTTGCTGTGGACAGCTTTGTTTCCTGGTCAGCATAAGAATAACATATGTGGGACCAACTCGCCCCCACCATCAACAAGAGACACCTGCCTGGGCAGCCTTTATCATCTTGCTGCAGAACACCCCACTGCTGTCTGTCCAGAGATTGATGTGTGACGTCTGTGTCTCAGTGCTTCCAGGTCTGGTTTCGTGCTCAGGAAGGTGTGTTAGTGTGATACTTTCATACTGAACACTCACCATGGTTCTTTAACATGATCAATACAATAACAGTAGAGTACATTGGAATTCTTCATTATTAACATTTTAAATTTATTTGATTAAATCCATTAAACCTGAGTATTGTGGCTGTTTTCTGCATCAGTATAAAAGGTTTACATTATTACCAATATTAAATTCGATTTGTAATTACATGTATTTGAGAGTGCTCTAAAACTTTGAAAATTTCTTGACCATTTTAATATCTAACATATTTGCTTTTGGTTTATAAGAGTTAGTTCATTCAGCAAACTGCTATCAGCTATTTAAGAATATATTGATGGGATACAACCCTTTATGAACAAATCCTCATTTTCTATGTTTTAAATGCACCTGCCTACTTCCCGAAGTTTCTGCTTGTGTCCACTGATTTCTGTTGTTCTGTTGATTTTCATTCATTTTTAATAATGAAAGCTACAATCATATGAGCTTGATCCATATTCATTAAGAAAATTGCAGCTCTGATCAGTTATTTTATTTGGAGTACTACAGAGAAAGAATAATCTCTTCATTGCATAATAGCATAGTGGGTTAATATATTGCAAGAAGCAAAATCCAGCATCCAGGTGGGGCTGCACATTGGTGGTGGTGGAGGGGAGTCCCCACTACCTGTAAAGCACTTTGAGTGGAGTGTCCAGAAAAGCGCTATATAAGTGTAAGCAATTATTATTATTAATTATTAATATCAAGGCAGATGAGATTTGTTGTTCAGGATATTTACCTTTCTGGAACTGATCCTTCTATTGTCCCCGTTTGAAACAAGTGTGGACTGCACTGCACTTGAAGTGCAGAGACGTGTGGAGTCTGTAGGAGCAGTGTGCGGCCTCTGCTTGAGATGCACCAGGTGGACACCAACCACTAAACCTGACACAGAGGAGCCAGGCTGGACCAGGCATGTCTGCAGCTCAGCAATTACATCCTGTTGCTCCTGAAGCTTGTCACTCTGTGGAAATACAACAGAGAACAAAAGCACAGTTGCGATACTCGAGAGTGCCTCTTTTCATGCCTGATACAGCTTGTCAGGAAAACTGAAAAACTATGTGGCAAAAACAGCACTCTGTGTTGGAACACAAAAGGTATCATATTTCCAACAGCTACTGCTATATGTTGTTTCAGAAATGTTATTTTTCAGGTCCCTGCTCTAAGGTGGACAGCAGTAATAACACAGAAACCCCTTTTAAACTCTAGGTTGTTCATATATAAAGTTAACCTTATGTGAGATCTGTTTTCATACATCACCTGTGTAAGATGCTGCAGTGAAACCAGTAAATGTATTCTGACTTTTAAGGAAGGCCAGATTTTAAAACCTTTTTTTGATTATTGCCAAGACATCACAGTTAACAACCCTAACATTACATTTTGACATTCTCAAAACTGAGAATGGATTTGTTTAAAGCTGACATGTTCCACAGAAAAATGCTCCACTGTCACCATAATGTGTGTCTGGTTTGCAGTTCTGGGCTGCTGGTCATCGGCACAGCACTTGTAATCCATAGAGAAGACTGAGATCTGAGGAGGCTCCAATGTAGTACAGCTTCAAGCAAAAAGGAGTATTCTGAAAACTGCAAAGTGTGAGTACATTCCTATCCCCATACCTGCTGTTTGTACTGCTCCATGGCATCCTCCAGAGCAGCCAGGAAGTCTGTGTTCTCCTTCTCCAGCTGCTGGATCCGAGCCTGTAGCTGAGAGATGTACTCATCCCGGTCCTTCTCACACTCCTCTGCCCCCTGTTCAATAACCTAGGACACACATAAGAGATTAGACTGATTATTTCCTGTGTTCCTCTGGTGTAATGAGCAATATTTTATTCACAGCTCCAAAAAATCTGCATTTGCATTTATGGTGTTTAAGTACAAAGCCGTGTCTTGGCTACTGCTAGACAAATTTTGCTCATGCATAGGCTGAATTGAAATAAAATCTCTAACACGCTCATCATCTGCTTCTACAGCAAAGAATGAAGGCCCTGGAAGATACCTGGTGTGTGGTGGCACCCTTCCCCTTCTGCAGCTCTGTGGTTCCTTCCTCTGTGGACGTGCTCTCGATTCCGCTGTCCAGGCCTGAGGCCGTGCTCAGCTCGCTGCGCTGCTCCTCCACAGAGCACAGCCACTCCTTCACCTGCAGCAGCTGGCCTGGGCTCAGCGCGCCCTCTCCCTGCAGCTCCAGCAGCAGCCTGTACGCAGCGTCTGTGCAAGTCCTGTAGTGTGCGCTTTCTGCTTGCAGCCTGCCCAGCTCTCCGCCCCCCGCCCCGGCGCGTCTCTCGGGGTCCTGCCGGGCGATGGTGCGGGTCTCAGACCTCTGCCGATTCTCCAGGGCCCGACGCAAGGCTTTGATCTGCAGCTCCAGTCCCTCCGTGCGGTTCGGCTCTGCCCGCCGGTAGTTCACTACAGCCCGGTTCTGAATGTTCTGAGCCCGTCTGGCGTAGTTCAGCGTGTTGAGGCTCTCGTCGAAGTCGGCGGAGGAGGGGCTGATGCACGCGATCATCAGGGTCTTGGCATTCCCTCCCAGAGAGTCCTTCAAGATCCTGTGGGCAGACGGATAAGAAGCTGTCAAAGGTTGCTCTCCAAAAAAAAGGTCCTATTCAACATACCTGCCCACACACACTTCCAGACTTAGTGCTTTAAAATACACGTCAGAACTGGACATTTTTCACAGCTGTTGATAAGCTCACAAGTACATGATTTACTCCCCTGCTTTTATTCAATGACCTGCTGTACCCGTCTCGACCAGCTCCTCATGCGGATGACGGTTGACAGCTCGCGGCATGCTGCTGGGCCTGGTGGGCTCCCCGGTCAGAGCCCCTTTGGCCTCAAGGCACGCGGCACAAGCGGATCACAGGGCCTCGTACCTGGTGATTTTGGAGTCCCTATAGGGGATGTGCGAGCCCCTTCTCTTGGGGTCCCCCAGCGCCCCGATGACGTTGCCCAGCGCCAGCAGCCCGCTGTTGATCTGGATGCTCTCCTTCAGCCGCTCGCCCGTGTTGCCGGTCTTGAGGACGCGCTCGGAGCCGGCCAAGTCCACGAAGTGAAACTTGGAGGCCAGGACGTGTGCGGCGGCGCCAGGGGCCCGGGGCCCACCCTGCCGCTGCTCCATGGCCAGGGTGAAGATGGTGTGCGAGCGGCTGGAGCTGGGGTTCATCTGCGTGGCCCCTGTGTGCCTGGCTGCGTTCCCTGTCTCCAGCAGGCTCAGCACCTCGTCCAGCCCCTCCACCTCGCACTCCTTGACCCCACAGAGGACTGCAGATGCCAGAGACACGGTGACAACATCAGATGGCTCCCCTCTCTCACCCCGACACGCCGCCTAACACAAAGGTAGCCAGTTTTTCAACGCTGCCCCGTCTTTCTGTTTTGATACCTCTAATTAGCTTTTTAAAACTCTACCATTATCTAAAATAAATAACAGGCAGTGGTTTGTCATTCATTAAGCAAAACACGGTGACTTGTAATACTTCTCGTTTCAGAACCAAGAGTTTTTTTTAATTTGCAGAATCGCCTCTTGTTAAAATTAGGTAACAAATACAGAAAAGAAACATATGGAAGACATCATTTGGTGTCTGGATTCAAAAGGATGCTAATTAAATTTTGAATTTTGGAGAACTGAACCTCTCTGAACATGGAATTCTTCCACGTGACGTTTTCTTGCAGGGAGATAATGCTGTATTTCTGGAGTAAAAGGATACAATTATGTGATCTGCACTGATCACAGATTTGTTTCAAATATTTTTTTCAGGTTGACAAGGCAAGATTCCGTGGCAGGACTAAACACAACATATGTGCAATGTACTCCTACTTGCCCACAGCACAGAGGCTGAAAGGCACCTAATGAAGCTCTGAGGAGTCATACCAATGTTGCCCTTGTCATCCTCCCGGATGTGGATGTCCTTACTAGCCGTCTCCACCTCCAGAAGGTCCCTGAACTCCTCCTTGTACACCTCCAGGTAGGAGATCCGCACGGAGAAGTCGCTCAGGTCGTTCTCGTCCAGCAACTTGAAGACCTCGGCCACGGCTCGCGGGATGATGCCCTGCTCGTCATCGCTGAAGGAGGCTGCAAGCCAGCGCCACCCCGTGTTAATCACACCTGCCTCACTGTCTCCTCTCCACCACATGTCAGATGGTGAGCAGGGCTGGTCAGGCCGCAGCTTCTAAGCTGTAGCAGCTGTACTGTAGGAAGTGGGTCTGGCTTGGTTTGGTGTGAACACTCCCCCTTCCCTGTGTCTCAGCGCCTCGCTAGCAGCCTGGGAGCTCAGAAGCACCTCACCAGAGAGACATTTTTTGATCAAATCGTCACTATTTGTTTCCAGCAAGGCTCAGCCTGGTGACTGAGCAGTAAAACCTACACATCTCGATGAGAACGATTAGTTTCACCGAAGGATCCTAACTAAGAATGGAAGAGGTGTAACAGCACACTTCCACAAAGACACGTAACATCTAAAATAGATTGAATTTCTTGCTTTTCTTAAAATATTACAGTATGTGCTATAAACGTAAGCATTCTAACAGTACATAAATACAAGAATTACAGATATAGTTTGCATGTAATAAACACCAACCAAAAGAAGTATTTTTACACATCAAGGCAATTCAAACTTATAAAACGTGGTTTCTCGTTATCACTCACCAGAACAAAAACCATATAATACAACAACAACAACAATAATAATAATACATGTAATTTCATTTATTAGTAGCTTTGTTCCCTATCCAATGCTGGTTCCTAAAAGTGTAAGCAAAAATATTTAGAGAAACATTTAGACCTCCACGGTGATCCCTACTGGCAGAGAGTGGCGTGGAAACAGGACACTCACAGATATTGGCCTCCCCAATGGTGTAGGTTTTGCCTGAGCCTGTCTGTCCGTAGGCGAACACTGTTGCGTTGAAGCCCAGGAAGAAAGCCTCGATGAGGGGCTGCACACAGGTGGAGTACACCTCCTCTTGGCCACTGCTCTCCGCAAAAACAAAGTCACACTGGAAGTGGCGGTCATGGCCGAGGGTCACCCTATTGAGCACAGGGTCCGCCGTGATGCAGCTCTCATGGCTGTGCAGCAGCTCTTTGGGCAGCAGGGGGCGCACTCGGACCACCACCTGCACCAGGCTCTCCTCGGCCCTGAACTGCGCAGGTCCTTTAGGCGCCATGGCTGTAGCTCAGCAGCAGCCACTGGCACGGCAGCCTGCCGGGGCCCCTGCTAGAGCCATCTGCAGGGCCACTGGGGGTCCTAGTGACACAGCAGAGAAAGCAAAGCGGGCAAATCAGCCCTAAAGGTGCAGTTATCTGCTAGCAGCTATAACACCCTGCAACTCACAACCGGTGCCGTCCTTCGGATGAGACGTAAAACCAAAGTTCTGAATCTCTGTGGTCATTAAAACCCCCCGAAAATTCTCGAAAAGAATAGAGGTATTACCCTGGTGTCCTGGCCAAATTTCCCCCTGGCCTTTACCAATCATGGTGTCCTAATAACCCCCGTCTCTGAACTGGCTTCATCACTCTGCTCTCTTCCCCACTGATAGCTGATGTGTGGTGAGCGCTATGCACTATGGCTGCTGTCGCATCATCCAGTGGGGGCTGCACACTGGTGATGGTGGAGAGGAGTCCCCATTACCTGTAAAATGCTCTTAATGTGTCCAGAAAAGCTATATATGGCATTATTTACAGCATTATATTTTTGTCATCATCATCATCTCCTTAAGATTAGACTGCATGTCCTGTTAGCTGGTTCATCTAAGAAATTGCTTCAGGAAACACAGTATGTTTAGAACTGTGCTGTTCAAGCACTGAGTGCTGATCAAGCCTAAACAATTTGAACACATTTCTCCTGTGCTGAAAAACTTCCAGTGGCTTCCAGACTCCTACTGAAGCGACTATAAAATCCTCTTGCTGACCTACCAGCTGTTGCATGGTATGTCTCCCCAGTACCTTCAAGAGCCACTATCCCCACACATCCTAGTTCACTCCTTCTAGCCTCTGGGCTCCTTCACATTGTATGTTAGAGGGCTGAGCCCTTTGTTGTTTACAAACCTCGGCTTAAACTCATATGATTTTGATGGCTTTTAAATCACAACCTATTTCTCTCTTTTCATTTCACATTTACATTTTACTGCATGTTCTGTTAACTGTACATTTCCATGTATAATTTATGTAATGCGCCTTGAAAATGCTCTTGAAATTGAAAGGCACTTTATAAGAATAAAACTGATAGAAAATCAATTGAAGATATTCTGCATCACAATTCATAGTTCCTTCCAGCATCTTTCCCAAATACAGTTTTCCACTGTTTATTTTAATCTTCACCTGTTCAATCAATTACATGCTGCAATTCAGAGCAGCTGCAGTGCATCCTCCTGCTCTGGCGAGAGGAATGCCTGAAGCAACATGCTAGTAGCAGTCAAGCAGGCAGGATGGACCAGAAGGCTTCCTCTGGTTCGCGTGAGCATGTCTGGCAGTTTCTTCAAACTGCCTTTTCCCCTTTTAGCCTTGATCAGGATCTTCTTGATTAAATCTGTTAAATCAGGTTCTCAATTCCTGGTAATGACAAACTTGTAACTATTAGGTTTAAAACCGATGTCTTTGTCAGACGACAGTGTATGTAAAAAACAATATACTGGGTGGTTGAAGACAATTACTAATTATTGTCTTAATTAGCCACTGATTGAAAACACCTATACACCCCGAAGGACTGTGACTCTGCAGTGCGCCACTGGTGTAAGTGGACTAGATAAGTAAGGACTTCAGGGGTTTAGAAGTTTAAGTGCACATGTTCAGTAGCCGCGCATTTTATATGTTATGTCTGTAGCAGTCGTATAGAGGCTAGTAGTAAATATCCGTACTTTTTCCAGAACCAGAACTCCAATTTAACTACCGGAAAGCCAAACGGACTGAAACCAGCAACCTTTGTGCTTCTACATAATAGATAATCGGTCCGGTTATTACAATTCAACCGTTTTAATTGCTGTTCTTTAAAATTCTGTTTGCGAGAAAACTATAGGATGAGGGTTTTTTTTTTAATACGAAGAAATGTCTGGGTACACTGCTATACGATTGAGACTCTCCATGAAACACATGGATAGTGCAGTTTATTTATCACTTTCTCATGCGACATAACCCCGTTCTGACCAAATCCTCATATTACTATTACTATTTTTCTCAGTCAGAAATTCATATATCACGTTATGAATTTAAAGCATGAATTACTCGACCCCAGTTAGGATAAACGTTAAAAGAACATGTTTAAATATCTGTCTCCAACTCTCACGAGTTTCCCCAACTTTATAAGAACAATAGCAAAACATAAAAAGTTTTTTTTATATATATTGAGAAAATATACTCACCTTTCAAAGGAAAACACCAACGAAAAGATATTTCACAGTTCAAAGCCTCGATACCACTTTCATTTTTGTGTATATGTATATATTTTCTGTGGTGTTTTTCGCAACTTAGTGTTTTTAGTTTTGCAGCTTTTTGATGCGACGTAATACGTCACCTAGACAAGGACCATGGTTGCAGGGACTGCGGGCGCTTTCGTGACGTCACAGGGCTGACTTCATAGTTGCCTCCTGATAAAGATAGTTCAGGTGGGTAGCTGTGTCAAGCATGCGTAAACTGCAAAGGAACAAGTAATAAGTTTATTCCATGCTGAAAAAAAAGAAGAAAGAAAACACAACGTTTCCGCCATGGAGCCTTCTTCAGGTGTGAGCACCTTTTTTCAGCATGGAATAAACCTATGTTCCTGTTAAAGATGGCCATTTCAGCTACCTTAAAAACACGCAATAGCAACTCGAAAAGATAATCTATGACTAACGCATTCAGACTATTTTTTCCTGAAATTTTCGGTTTTCAAATGCTTTCATTTTCTTCTAAAAAACAACTATTTTAGTCATCCGACCAAATACAGTACGTTAACATTTACATGGGCACGAGATAAAATAAATAAATTCAGTTTCTACTGGATTTATATTATAATTTTTAATTCAATCGTTCGGGAAAAGGTTTTAGGTTTTCATGTTTATTACATTAATTTAGATATAATTTTAGCCTGCCATAGGAGTAGTTTGTTTTTGTACAGTATGGGATTTCAGTGGAAGGCTGGAACGAGATAAAAAAAAAATAGTCCAAGCCCTAAGAAAACTACCAAGCCACTTTCCCCCTTAAAACCCCATCCAAAAAACGTCTCCCATTCAGCGTTTTGTGTGTAACATGATATAACATTTACGGTATATAAATATAAAAATGAATATTTCCACATTCATCTAGTACAAGACAAAACAGAATGAGTTCATTTTCACCTACCATTACTGGCATGTGAGGGGTTCGTTTTTTTGCACTGCCTATAGTGGACAAAACTATTTCGGCAGTCCTTGAAAAAGACATTTCTGTGGGATTATTAAAAATGTGGTAAAATACTGTACTTTTTGATGTTTCAACCACACCTCCAGGCTCACATAATTACCCAGTTGGAAAGCATCTGCACTCTGGCAAAACGTGTTGAGCAGCCAGAGCTTCCATTCCGCAGAGCTACTGTATGGCACAGTGTGTCCCAGGCCTATTCTCCTAGTGCCTGTTAGCGAGAGAGCTTATCCATTTGAGCTTCAATAGCTGAGGTAAGGAGAGATGGCTATACAGGATCACTGCAAGCCACCATAATCTAGCTTAGACAATGGAAATGGAACAAGACAGAACAGACCAGCCTTGGTGTGTCACAAATAGTATCAATTAAAAAATAATTTGATTTAACAGTTTATTGAAAAATTCGCCGTAATCAGAAACAACAGATATGCTCTCGGAGTGACTCTTCACAGGCACAAGGGAGTAAAACCAGCTCTGGGGAATAAAGAGTTACTGTGTAAGAGTACATTTTGTAAAAATCTGCAGGAAAGTTCCTCTGGGGGTTTGACAGATGGATGAAAGGAATGTTTTCTTGTATTTTACTTGGGGGGGGAAGATCACAAAAATTCAGTGTCTGTTTCTTAGTAACGTGTGACTGTACCTGTCCCTTGTTCAGTGAAGAAATTGAATGCTGGCATTAAATAGATTTTTAAATTTGCGTTTTCAATTTTCAGTAGGACGAGTATAAATCAGAAAATGGAGGTACATTACTGTGAAAACCATGCATTTACCCTACAAGCGTGTCACACGATGCACTGAAATCATACAGTACATCAGCTTGAGAGAAACGTACTTGGAAAAACAGGTGGGTTTAATAGCTGGTCTGCTGTGAGTGATTCAAGTTCCAGGGTGACACGGACAAGGCAAAAAAAGCCACTGTTAAACTTTGAAAACAATCTGTTAGCCTCAAAGTACAAGCACATCAAATTTGAAAAGGCACCTGCAGGCCTACAGTGATTATTTTTCAATTACCTTGTTGACTTTGTCAAGAGGGTGGAGTAAATACACATCTGTCTTAGTTAACATTGAACTCACTTATTTTGCGTTAGTAAACTCCTGCCTCACGTGCTTTGAACAATTCGATATGCATGAGTTAAAATTGCTACTTGACTTATTAGTATTCTAGAAACATAAAGCAAAAGAAAAGTAGCCCTATGGCATTACAACAATCTCTTTTTGTTATTATTAGTGTTGAATTGCCACCAAGATTAAAATAACATAATTTTCTCATTTCAATTTTGCCTTATTGGAAATTTTTCTTATTTATCTTTATGTTTCTTTAGTCTACTTAATGAAATTAAACACATTAAATTACTGTATGAGAGCTGAATTAATTAAAAATAAATTGCCAAGTATTTAACATTATTAATTTTTTTAAATACTGTTTTAAAGTATTGAAATGATAGGCCTACTTAACAGTGTTGAGTTGGTTACGACTTATGTATTGAAAATAAAAACTGACCTTTTCAAATTTCACTAGAATTCAATGTTCCAATTGTTAGTATTATGTCATTTTTCAGTTACGTAGCTCTCATTTTACACTGTATGATTATGATTTAGCATTTAAATATAACAATAAAAACATTAATTAAAAAACAAGGCTATCTTATCTTAATAAGATTGTAGATATATTTAGATCCAGCATTTTATTTTTTCCAGAGCAATTAATAATACTTTTGATATTTTGGAAGTATTCCTCGATCAATATTTCTCTAGTGAATGCTCCAAAAATGACATTTTTATTCCTTGAAGATTACAGTTATGTGTGTCTTACTAAACTCTCCTTCATTTGTTTAGTCTGCAGTGTAGCTAGGAGGGATGAGAAAAGCAATCTGTTATGTTTATTATGTATTTACAAAGCACGTGTTCCAGGATTGAAAATAAATCATAGACAGCAAGTTGAATAGAGATTTTACTACAAATTAAGATAAAATCACAAAAAATACAATTGAAGTTGAACAGCTATGTGCAATTACAGACAAGGAAATGTGTTATTAAAATAAATTGCGTGTCTTAGACTAAACAGATTTGCTGAGCAACAGCAACAGTTTAATCATCTCCATCCATTATGCAGAATCCACAGCACGCTTCACCTGTTTGAACACCACGAGGTAACAGTAGTGAATCTCTTTCCCCCACACACAACGGGGCAGCCTTCCACATGAAGTAGTTAAGCTCATGTTACTACCTGTACCAAGAAACTGCGACAAGTTACTTTTTATCAAAGTAATAAGTGACTGTAACTCTTTACATTTTTTTTAAAAGGGACTTCCCGCATACAGAGAGTAACCTGGGTGCTTCACAGCTCCCAGTCAGTCCTGCCACCATGCCTGGCTGGAGTGAGCACACAGCTGGGGAGACTAGGAAGGAACAAGAGAGCCTCCAGAAGAAGAGAATTTAAACGCAAATATTTTTTTATTATTGGTGATAGCAATAGTCATTGTCATTGTCATAGTAATAGTACCATTCCAAGGTAGTGGCTCAGTGAGTCTGTGTTCCTGGGAACACGGTGTAAAGACCATACTGACCCTGCAGACAATACTGTTTGTAAATGTAGCAACCAGTTGTTCAGGCAGAATACATGATTCTAAATTTTGAATAGTTTCTTTAAGGAAAATATTGTTGATTTGAAAACTAGCCAATGTGAAAACTCAAAAATTATTTTTTGGTATTTTAGACGTGTCTGCTACAATAATCCATCCATCTGTTTTCAAACTACTTTTCCAATTTTGAGTCACAAAGGAGCCGGAGCCTATCCCAGGAACAGTGGGCGCAAGGGAGGGCACCAGTCCATCTCAGGGCAGACAGACACACACACACTCACACCTTGGGCCAGTTAACCTCCCGCTGTGTCTTTGGAGTGAGGGAAGAAACCAGAGCACCCAGAGGAAGCCCAACAGAACACAGGAAGAACATGCAGACTCCACACAGACAGCGTCCCTGTTTGGACTAGAACCCAGGGCCCCAGTGCTGTGAGGCCATACTGCTGACAACTGCTCCACTGTACCAACAGCTCCAATGACAATAATATTAACTACTGTTCCATAGTCTTTAGAGTCTCATTTATGGGAAAAGCAGACTTATTTTTTCACTGCTGCGTTCTTCATTTGAGGTAAATGTTCTGTGGAGCACTGGTGTTGTGCTTGATGAAAGGGCTGTTCAGAGTGCTACATATAATGACCCTCAAGGCTATGTGGAATCATAGGGAGCTATCCCACACTGTGACTTGCACTAGGCTGGGGCTGGCAATTCAGCAAAGGTTGCCATGGCAGTATCCATGGCAACATCCTACACCATTCTCTGAGAGTTGAAGGTAACACCCACTCCCATTGTTCAGTTTCTGTAATGCATATTCATACCCACAGCAAAGCTATTGCAAAAATGTTCTTTTATCTACCAATTTACGCATCTATCCGTCCATCTTGACATCCATCAATTCTTACACCAATACCGAGCGCAATCACAGCTCACTTCTCTGAGCAACCCATTTTCAGTAAAACGCGCTGTAGGATCAAGACATCTCGGGAAATATGGAGCTAAATGACACACTTACATGTATTCACACAATGTTGTTATTGGAGATTCGCAGGTCTTTGCTCAACATTTTAATTCTAAGACCAGTCATTTTGTACTGCAGAAAAGAATAAAGGTTTTACTGTAACAAAATAATCCATCTATTGACTCCTAACCTTGATGATTTCTCCTGCTTTACAAGGTGCAGTATTGATGCATGTCCCCTCTCCCCTGTTCTTTCTGCTCCCCTGCTGATCTCCAGAAGCGTGTGGGTCTTCAGGCACAGCCCAGTGATGCTTCGTTGGTGCAAAGCCAGAAAGACAGGAAGCAGCAACGTGGGAGGCCTGAAAGAGGCTTGCGCAGGGCTGTGCTGGCCAGCGTTCAGAGAGACATCATGTGGTGAACTGGACCTTACTCAGTGAGGTAGACTGTGACTTGTTGTCAGAGCACATATTTACAACAACAAAATCACTAGTCTTCCACACCGGCCAAGATCAGGAAGTCAGACAGCTCAGAATCCTCACAAGCGCACGGGAACTTGCGAATGTTCCCGTGTGTGTATAACGCGAGCTGCCACCTAGAGTTTCATTCTCTTTTTTTATACATCAGTCCCCCTCTCTCCACGCGAAGCTCTCCATGGTGCCCTGTTGCAAAGGGGTCTGTAACTGGATGAAGGCTTATTGATCGATTGGCTGGGTGAGAACAGGTTCTGAGTGTTCCAAGCAGAATGCATTGGATTTTAAGAAATGAAACATAAAGGTTGCAAATGAGAAAAGGGCATTCTGTCCATGACATCTGTTTAAATGTTAGTAGCTTATTAGCTGTAAAAGCTCATGTGAAGCCTTTTCTTGAAGGGTTCTTAAAAAATAAGCTTCCATAGCTCTGTTGCATACTTGGTTACAAACATCTACAACTCTTCACACTCAAGGGTTTGAATGCACAGGGCCGTTGTGGTGGGCTCTGGGCTGGTCTCGGAGCCACGGGTGCAGTGTGCTGGTGCTGGAAGACTCTCTGAGTGGAGCCTGTCTGCTCCTTGAGCTCCTGGCTGGGCCTGGAGACTGAGGCAGGACAGCCCCAGCAGGACAATGGCGGGGTGTTCAGTTCGTCACTCCCAGAACTGACTCAGCTCAGTGAAGCTGTCCAAAGCACATCTATTTAATATAATGAATCTATGAACAACTTTTCAAATTTGTGCACTTTTCAAATTTGTGATATTAAAAGGAAGGGCTGCTTAGTCACCAGGAGCTGGTTTCATTATTTTTAGGGTCAGGATGCAGAAAGAACACAGTACTAAACTGTATGAAGGCTGGAAATTAAAAATGATTAGACCTGATTTTAACACACATTAGTAATTTTAGGAATTGTGAGGCTTCATGTCAATATTACAATGTAGCAATAGTGCAATATTACTAAAGTTTTGTACTTCAACAAAAAGGACACATAATTGGAGAAGTCTGTAATAACGGTGTCCTGAAAGCTATGGCCAATTCAATTGTATTTTAAACATGTATTAACAAGCTGAATCTTCTTCAAGACCTCTTCCACATTGGATACATGTCTGCAAAAAATAATGTAATATGTGTTTGTTCAAAGCCTCTGGATTCCACATCACCTTCCTAGGGCTCACCTGGAATTATTATTATTATTTTTTCTTTATATTGAAAAGATTAATATAAGTCAGTTTGCTGGAAAGTCTTTAGGCATTCTGAATGACATCCTAAAGGATTTATGATGGAGTTTAACTCAGAGACACACTTTTATGACCAAAAGAGATTGTAGGTTTGATGCTCTACTACATTATCAAGTGTCATGTTGCACTTGTAAATTTCAAAAGCTGTCTTAGGCTGGGATGTGGGTAGGATAAGATAACAAAGGCCCATAAATCAACAGGACTATACATATTTTTTTCTCTTTCCAGGCCATGGTCTTGACGTGAAACAGTTAATTACATAAAGAGTAAAGTACCTATAAAATAATACATTAACACACTTAGCTCAGTTGTGAGTATAAATGTCATAGTGTATTTAGAAGCATATTGCATTATAACATGCAGGCTACTTCCCTCTATCCTAGTCAGTAATAAAGAGAAACAGTATAATGGAAATATTAAATAAAACATTAAATGAGTTCATTTGAGTACCTCAGTAAATAATAATAATAATAATATTTTTTTACTCTTTACCAGAGATCAGATGCATCTAATTTTGTGAGACATTCCTAGTTTATTCAGAATGCAGAAACAAATCCAATCAATAAACATTGTTTGCTCGGTTGCTCACCAAATCAGACTCCACTGCAGATTCAGCCATTGTCTTCATTTTCATATGCAGGTGTCTTCATTTAGCAGGGATTTTACAAGGACACATCCGTTGTCTGTATCAATTGACACAAAAAGTAGATGGAAGCATGTGGAGCTGGAGGGCCGTGAAAGCAATCAATGTGTGCTCTACCATATTAAAAAGAATCTTAAAAGTCTGCCTGTAAAAATCCTGTTTCAGGAGGAGTTAATGTAGTAATACCTGGAGCCCAAGTGCCCTTTCCACTAGCTGATCTGCAAACATATTTCTTTTTCCAAAACCCATCCGCTTTCAATTTTGAAGGCTATCACCTGTGTCCCTGCTTGTCTGACTGCTCTCAGGCCTATAAAATTGGAAGATACAGTTGATTTAATAGCTGGGATTTCACTTTAATAAAACAGCTTAACAGAGAGATGTGCTTATAAAACAGATATGCCTCTTGCTTTCCAGAAGAAGAAGACAAAGAGGCCGGCTGGCAGAGGAAATGTACTGTAGATTTCAGCAGCCTTCTGCATGACTAGTTCAGACCCTGCAATGTGTAAACCACACGTTGAGACTGGAGCAACAGGTCTCCCCCCCTTCCTGTCCTTCATCACTGTTTTCTTGTATTCGGCAGATGTGAGCCAAGCAAATGATGAAAGTTGCCAGCTGTACTGGAGTTCTTTGGATTATCCATAGTTTGAGTAAGGCATCTTGTGATTTCTCTTTCATATACAGCGGCACCACAGCTCTCCTGAAGACACATCAACAGACACGTAACAGGTCTGCTGCTGAAAGACAACACTCCTTTTCCTATACACTTTTTTTACCCAAACCACATTCTGTACGAATGTTATCATTTGCACTTTTCCCTTGTTTTAACCCTTACACGTCTGACCTCTCATTTAGCATTAATGCATCGTAGACACTTTACTGTAGTTATTGTGCTCTGCTTTCATGGCTGCCAGCAAGGTATCTACAGAAGGCCATGTTGACTCTTTGTAATTAGCTGATCAGTTTCAAGTGCTCAAGCAGAACTTCTGTCAGGACTGGTTTCAAGACAACAATGTTTGAACAATGTTTGAAGGGTTCCGCCTTCTGGTTAAAAAAAAACAAGTACTTCTAAAGAAGCCCACTCAACATAATAAAAAACACATGCACATTCCTTATAGAGGTCCAAGATGGTGCTCAAAGCTACAAAATAGTGTTGGGTTAAAAGGGATCAATGGATTGATTCATTTTTTATGGATTCACTCCAAAGACAAGAAAATTACAACAGAATAGTTCATCACAATCTTCCCACCTTCCAAGGTCTCTGAATTGAGCAGAAGCTGCAAGATGAATTGAAAGGAACGCGGATTGTTAATCGCAATTAAATGCATCTCTCCAGCATTTCCCTCAGCGCTGAGAGACAGCTGTAAAGTCAGAGGTCTAGTGCCGAGTCAGGGAATGCGCACAGTCCCACAGGGACTTCACTCCACACCAGGCGTTCCTCACACGGACGCAAACAAACAACCACGCCTCCACTTAGAAGAGTAATCCTGATTCCAAGAATGTGTGAGGCCGGGAATCGCCTAACAGCCAGGACCTGCTCTCGGGGAAGCTGCCCTGGCGTAAAGGATCAGTCATGCCCGACTCTCCTGCCTTCCCTCTGTAGGCCGGTGCAGCACAGCCAGGGAGACCTTGCGGAGGAAAGCTACACGAGGCCCTGTCCCTCAACAGACTCCTCAGGCAAGAACGAGAGCTCAAACCCACAGCCTGCAACAGCTGATTGCCTGTTTGAAAGGTTACAGGCTCATGTGGGGCGGAGCGGTGGCTCTGTGGCTCAGGATCTGCGCCTGTGGATGGAGGGTTGCCAGTTTGAAGGCTGCCATCCCGCGGAATCCTATCCTAGGGGCCCCAGAGCAAGCCCCTTAACCCCAGCTGTTCCAGGGGCGCTGTACAATGGCTGACCCTGCGCTCTGACCCCCAGCTTCTCTCCCTGTCTGTGTGTCTCGTGGAGAGCAAGCCGGGGTCTGCGAAAAGACAAATTCCTAATGTAAGAAATTGTATTTGGCCAATAAAGTGATCTTATCTTATCTTTTATTTTTGGCTTTGTTTCATTTTCTAACTTCTTAAGTGTTCCAAATAGTTCTCTTTTCGATGTGAGAAAAGCAGTCAGAGCCTCACAAGCACTTTGTGTGATGGAGGTGGACACTGTTCTGTACAAAACGTCCAAAGAGCAAGACTCTCCGCTGCCTGTTCTAACGGCTACCTGTTTCCTGCTGGGGCTTGTAGCTGAATCAATTCTGAATCTCTGCTAAAAAAAGAGCACAACTCCACCAAGCCCTTTAAAACACAAAACTCTGCACACACCATCTCTTTCCTGTTCCTCATGGACTTTTTTATTTTTAAAAAAGTACTGAAGCTTTCTTGGCTTTCCAGGGCTGTCACCTTCAAAGTGAGAGCTCTTGAGAAATCTCCCTGTGCTCAATACTTAGGGCGGGTTCACACTTGGCAGTTCTTCCTGGCAATACTTGCCTGCGCTAATTGCTAGCAATTAATTACCAGCATTTTCCCCTCTCCAATCCCAGTTATAAATTCATTGCTGGCAGTATTGCTGTAGCAACTTCATGGCAGTTTTAGATTTCTGAACTGGGAAAAGAAGTGGGTTTGAAGTTTTTTTTTTAGCTTACTGATTCAACTGAAAACAGATGAGAACCTTAAATGATGGATCCAGAACACGCTATACATATTAAATATCAAGTTTCTTTGACTGTCACAATAATGTTTAAAGTTGTAACAGCCACAAGACATTGCACAAGACACTTTGTTCTCCATCTATGTCTAGCAGTAACAGCTAAGCATACACCTGTGACACAGAGTACACTGGTACATTCTTCTCCCTTTAAATAATGATAGATTATTTCCAGTACCTGTTTTCGTTATTGTGACCTCTTGTTTATGGGAAAGACACTTTAGCTGGGATACCTTCCCTAGTCTGCTGTTCTTCTTTATGTTTTGGGAAATTGTGGGTAAACTGCTCACTTCATTGTACGCAGTAATGCTTCGAAGCACAAGACTTCGTGAGACTACGTGACAGATGAGCCCAAAGTTATATACTCATGTGAGATCTTGTTTGTTTTCTGTTCCCACCAGTTAGTAACATTTAGAGAGGTTGTTAAGGTTGGGCTCCAAATTTGTCATCTATTAGCTTGTATTCATCAGTACAATTCAAACTATTTGAAAACAAAGTTTACACAGTATATTTAAAAACAGATAGGCTGAATGGTTATAATGTAACCTCATCGTTTCTTTCTATAATTCTTGAAAAATTCTGGAGGCCACAGTATAGTTGTACTGTGTTTCCACAGTTGTATTTCCATTTTAATTTTATTTTTCTTCAGAATAACAAAGACATTTCTGCTCTTCAATGCTTCTCTCTACTTCCACACCACAGACATACATTCTGCTCTCAGAGAACATTTTTGTCCTTTTTCTTGTTAAAACACCTTATACTCGTTTTGATGTCTGATTTACTTAAACTGAATGTTTGAATGTACAAATATAGAAATAAATATCATGGTTACAGAAATAATGATGTTTTAAGTACTGTGGATAACCAGCTGGAGTCTGTGTAGAGTGTACAAAAGTAAAGCGCATCTGTACCTGCAGAAAAAGATTTTGAAAAAGACAAGATGTCAATTTTTATTTAATTTCTATTACTCTGTTATTAAAAAAACAACACTTTCTTCAATTCATCAAATCCATTTCCATAATCCATAATTTTTGGTTCTGAAAAAATATCTTGCAAACATCCTAATTTCATTATGCAGTATCTGCCAAAGTAAAAAGTTAATAGGGCAGTGTGTCCTTTAAGATATTCTTTTAAAAAGAAAAGAAACATTCAGGATGAATCTGCTTCTAGCAGCCTGGACCTCATACATGTACACAGAAATGCCTTTAAATATCCAATCAGCCTTACCCCTACCCCTCGCCAAGGCACCATTGACAAGTGCTCTCAGGTGGTGTGTCTGTCCCTAGTTCAAGTTACAGGGCCCATTTATTTTGTATAAGGCCCTGCTTGGGTTAGCACACACAAAAGGGAAGCAACAATTGGGTGGCATTGTGCTATAGACAGCATTGTGAAGGGAGTGACAGCACAATTCTTTGCTATGAAGCGAAGGGTCATTAGTAACTTGCTCTTCACTGCCACTGACTCATACAAGGGTAATGTATTACTTTAGAAGTCAGGCTGTGAAGGATAAATTAGCCTGGATCAAATATGTTTTTTCCTATTAAAAATATATTACCTATAATGGGGTACTCTGCTCAGATGAATACCATGGACAATTTTAAAATGGCAGAGCCTGTCGCTGCATGCATTTATATATTTACTTAAGATTCCAGAAAAAGAAAAAAGGGCTTGAATGAGACAGGTCCTTTTACCTCCGGACTCCTGGTAAAAATATTAGGCACAGCATTGAATAGTAATACATTATTAAACCAAGTTAAATTATGCTCTCCAGCTAGGGTGAATGCCTTTCATTCTATACAATTAGAGAGACTAAACCCAACATGCAGAGCAGTGTTATATAGCAGAGAAGAGCAGAATTCAATTCTGTCCTTGTTCAGTTTGGATTAACAAGGGAACTCAATTAGTGTCAGAACCATTCACCTAAGGATGATTATGGATTGAAAAAGTATCTTAGCTTTTAACAGCAAGTGAAGAAGCTAATAGAAGGATGCATCTTTAGGATTTAACATAAATTGATAAAAAAGACCCCTTAATGTCTACAAAAACAAAACACTTAAATCTGAATATGAACAGTGATGAGAGGGGTCATTCCACCATCCAAATTCTCTTTTCTTTTTCAAAAAACGACTTTCAACTTAAGAGGCTCCAGCTGCAAAGTTAGAAATCTTACGAAATGATCCACATTGAAGCTCTTTTTATAAATTATGGTGAAATTGTATTAGTCAGGCATACTGAGAACCACAGTTCCAGACTGTGATGATACAAGGGACTGGTCAGGGTTACGTTAGGTTACGTAAGATTTGATACGACTAAACTCTTGTCCGTCATTGAAGCACAACAGTTAAGGTGGTTTTGACTTA